AGCCCCCCGTGTCGACAGAGCTGGCCGCGCAGCGCGCACCCCAAAGGCCTTTGCAGGGCCTGCGCCGTGGGTGCCAGGGTAAAGCAGGGGTGCTGCAGTGTGGGGTTGGGGTCATGCTCCCCCAAACTGGCGTGTCCCCCCGGGCGCCGGCGGCCTCTCCTCGCAGGCCTCCCCCCCGTGGGCAGGTTGGCGTGGGGATGCGTGTGCACGCGCTTCCCACGCCCCAGGCCTCCCGTGACGTCCCGGGCCTTTGCAGGGCCTGCGCCGTGGGTGCCAGGGTAAAGCAGGGGTGCTGCAGTGTGGGGTTGGGGTCATGCTCCCCCAAACTGGCGTGTCCCCCCGGGCGCCGGCGGCCTCTCCTCGCAGGCCTCCCCCCCGTGGGCAGGTTGGCGTGGGGATGCGTGTGCACGCGCTTCCCACGCCCCAGGCCTCCCGTGACGTCCCGGCTTCCTCCGCCGGCCTTGCGTCACCGCGGGAGGATGTTGCTCAGCTCGGGGAGTGGGGCCGATAACCCAGCCGGGGCGCGTCGGATGGCGAGAGCAACCTCTGGCTCTCCCCTCCTTTGTCCTCATCCCCGGGGATGCCCACCCGGCTCTGCATCTGCGCCCTGAGCCACGTCCGCCGGGCTCCCCGCCGGACGGGGAAGCGGAGCCCGGGAGCCGGGGCTGGGCACGCTGCCGGAGGCTGCCTCGAAGCCAGGCTCCCCTCAGCCCCGCGGTGATGCTCGGGCTGGCCGAGGGCACGGCGTCGCATCCGCCGCCTTGCTGGCCTCGGGGGCCGCAATGCGAAGGCGGAAGGGAGCGGATGGTCAGTTTTCTGTTTGGTTGTTGGGTTTTCTTTTTTGAAACATCCTTCATTTCTACCGGAGGGTTTTAGGAGGGTTGGTACGGAGACCTCAGCTTCCCAAAACCCCCATGCCCCCGCAGGGAGTGCTCGCCCAGAGCTGGAAGAGTCCCTCCTGCAGCCCACGCTGGTGCTCGGGAAATGCAGTGCTCCCAGGCTTTTCTCCTCCACCACACCTCCCTCTTATCAGCGCCGCTCCCGGGAGCGGTACTGCTATCTTCAGGGTAATAAAATCTCAAGGAGTGGGGGGTGTTCGTGCCCATGTCCCCGCTGGTGCCTGTGATTTGCGTTTCCCCTGCGTCGTGGAGGGGGCAAAGCTTCCGGCAAACGCGGCTTTAGAAGACCCTGCTCTGGCAGGGAGCTTGGTTTGCAGCGAGAGCCGTGGCTGGGCTCCCCCAGCCGGCGTCCTGGGAGAGGGATCCGAGATGTTTGGTTTGTGGGGGAATATTGGATGGAGAAGATGAAGGGATATTTGCAGTAACG